GGAAGTGGCTGTCCGTCCGACAGGTTGGATTTCAACATAAGATGTAGAGTTACGTAGCGTGTTTGAAATAGTCATTTTTGCACCATAGCTGAGTTTTGATATCTTCATGTCGCTAATTCTTTTTGAAGGTCTGTCCCCTTTGCTATGCGGACTTGGTAGATCCAGACGAAGAAGTCCCACTAGCAGAAGTGGAACCCGAGTTGCCTCAGGATAGAGAAAGGGCACGAGAAAGAAACGCGGAACTGAGAGAGCTGCGTGCGATGGAAGGTGCGAGAGATATGTGGCCGCTGATGGAACAGTAAGTATCCACGTACTATGACTTTCTAGACAGATTGGCAGTTCAGCGTGAATTCTCAAAGCAATTTTTGCAGAGTTTACGATAACGGTACTGATTCCGAGAGTGATTCCTCTTCTGCGACTGAATACACACTAGCCAGCACTGACGATTGAATTTCGATCGTCAGCTACTTACCGTAATGTTCAAGCTGGGTAATCACTGTGATGCTAGAATGCCAAAGTATAGATATTATGATTTTTGAGATGTGCTATACAATATATGTTCTTTCTGCTTTGAGGGGAAAACTGCATTTTTTGTGAGCGAAATTTATACTCATTGCATCCGGTAATAACATTACCATGTATGTTTCCTTTCTTGAATGTAGGTTGAGTGCCGTCAAAGCGGTTCATATGTGCAAAGCATGTTTTTTATTTCTCAGTCATTTGTTCCATTAATCAAAATTTTTTAAATCCTCCAGGATACCTTTTCCATATGTAAACTCCTTGCTGTTGTGTTTCTTTCGTGCGCCGTTATTTAGTGAATTCCTTTTGAACAACGGGTGGCGAATAATTGAATAAAGTCAACTAATGCTGCGACTTACTGTCTACTTTACTCACGAGTTACTTATGGCCATTCTCATTGATGTCTGTTCGTGTCGATGTTCAGGTGACTATTTGTGTTGTAGATTCTTTGATAATTCTCAAATCGTAATAAAAAATTGTTGAAGTTATGAATGATTTGCACAGGTCGTACCTTTTAATGATATCGCAGTTCGCCACTGAAATATTCCTTCTTCAATCTCTCTTTGTGCAGGATGTCGTCACTTTCACCGTTTTGCGCTGCACGATTAGTGCGAGCAAATACGCTGATATTAGCTGCATGCCGCACCGTTACTGGATGTCCATCTCGACCAGCAGCGGCAAGTCGCAGACAAAGTAACCTAAAGAAGAGAATGGAGGAACTGAAACATATTCAAGATTTCCCGTAAGTTCAGCATGCACCATAAACCAGGATGTTCAAAAAGAAAATTCAGATCGGTCTACCCTGATTTTGTACAATCTCCTGTGTGGAATCGTCGCAATCCATTGAAAGAGGAGCTTGAGTACCAAGATATGCTTGAGCGGCGTATGCATCTGGATATACCTGAATTTTACGTTGGTAAGCGAGCTTCTATAGTGGTAGTACTAGTCCTCT